AGACCAAGGGTTCAACATGAATCTACAAGATCATAACAGACAGACAGCACTTCACTGGGCGATATCACCAGGAGAAACTGGCGTGGTCAGCTATCTGCTCAGCCTTCCGGATAAGAACAGCAGTGTTTCTGGCTGCAATGAAGGTACGTCTCTCCATTATGCAGTAGAAGGTGGTCGTACCGAAATCGCGAAAATGTTGCTTCAACTCTCTAGTGAAACTAATCACCGGCACAAGTCAGTCGTGTGCGAGAAATCACGGATTGACCACCGAATCTAAAGAGCTTGGAAGCTAACATGGCAGAAAAATATGGCATGACGGCGCTCCATCTGGCTGCTGAAAACGGAGCCCCGAAGACGATCAAATTGCTGTTAGGCCACGGGGCCGATGCAACTATCACTAATATTCACTACATCTGGGATCAGTCATGTCTTGGTTCTGCCATCGAAGGAACTCGAGCACGTCAAGACGATCAAGACAGAGGCCGGTAAAAAGATGTATTGAGGCTGCTAATGCCCGTGGTTGGGAAACACATGCTGTTGAACGGGGCCCGGCTGTACGTGAGCAGTGGGTGAGAACGAATGTGGTGATGGTGGCATTTTCGGATAGCCTGGAATTGCAATTTAATTGCCAAGGGAACTAGAGATTCACAAGCGACGCCAAGAACTCAGTGATTGACTCAATGGCGTTGGCGTGAACTTGAACGACTCGCGTAAAGCCCCAGTTGAGACGAACATGCGCTCGGCTTCGAGATCGATCGCACTCGGCCCGGAATGGGCAGGTCTCCAGTTTATTCGTTGCGTCTAAGGTCTATTTGACCTGACCAGACCAGGCCGCCGCCTTCGCTCGTATTATTATCTCCGACTAGATCTCAGGGCGCAGCCGTGCTTTACATGGCCCGGATAGCAAAACTCTACATTATTGAGAGACACTTCAGGATCAACTCCAATCTCATTCCGGAGACACGTTGGCGTGAATTTCCATAAGGTGGTTCCAGTTAACTAGAAAATCCCTGTAAGTATCTCATGAAAAACTGTTGTGGGGGCTAGCATTAAGGTAATTACATATAAACTTTTCGCCGGCATGCAGGCCAGTATCAGATAACGAGTCTGTTGTATCAGTGATATTATACAACGAGTCAAACCCCATGAACCGCCCGCTAGGCTGCGAAGTCCAAGCTTCAATTTTCGAAAATAAAAAGCGGATAACGCCAGACCTCAGCCCGGGTTGTCAATAACATCCCTCATCAATAGTTCCCAACTTACTTCTCCTCGTTAGCAAACCTTTCCTGCCGAATTATCAATCAACATTCAGTAGGTGTGATCAGCTCCACTCCTCGTTCCAAAAGCGTCATGTAAACTAATCAAAGGACTAGTTAAAAGTCACAATGCAGCCCTTCACCTTCGTCCTGACCGCCGTCTTCGCCGCCACGGTAACGGCACAGGGTTGCCATTTCTGGGTTCAAGAGAAGTCGACCGGAAACAACGTGTTGCAGAAGTGTCTCCAAAAGAATGAGGGAACGACCGCCTTGATCAATGGCGCAGCAAGTGTTTATCTCCAGGCCGATTCAAACTGCCGCGTGACGGTAAGCAATACCGGATACAACACAGCGCCCGTGGGATTCAACGCGTACTACGACGGCCCTTGCTAATGTATGTTTCCACTCCTCTGATATTGGATCGCCAAAGTTATGCTGACGTTGTTTGACACAGTGCAACGCCTGGACCCATATCGTGGGAATTTCTGGTGTACTTGCGACGTTCGTTTGTAACTATTGCTTTCCACCATGTACATACATTTGCGAAGCGAACGGCGCTGAGCGGGCGAAAGATTCGGGTTCGTCAGGGCCAGCCTGCTGCAGGACAGAAGCTCAGATACTCAATGTGATCAATTGGCAAAATCTCCAAAGTTCGCGGCCGTTGATGTCGAAAGTTTCCCTAGCGACAATGTCTAATTGCCCGAAGTCTACCCGGTGAATGATACATGCCGGCAAGACAGTCTTGCTAAGTAGCGGATGAATGAAAGACGCAGGCAGAGCTGATACCGTCTAACATCCAGAACAGCATGGATCTCAGATCTGAGGCTACAAAATCTCGACAGCTGTGACAAGTTGCCTTTTTTTGATATATTAAGACTGAGATTTGAGCATCAGGTTAGTTATCCAGCTTGACTGGTTCCCGTTCTTACCCCGTGAACGACGTCCACCTGCAGCCGATAGCTGTATTGCATGGGAGATAAGTTAAGCGTTCTCTCCAATGTGTACGGTGGTTTTATGAAAATTCCGCGGTATGGAGACAAAAGCATGTTTATGTATCCACGGACACAGAAAGTCAATTTCAACGACGACTGCGCCTCAATGCGTCTCCAAGAACATGGTATCATTTGGGGGACCGGAAATCCACCGCGGCCGCACCGGTGACGGGCAAACCAACAGGCGCTTATGAGATAACTCGGAATGGCTTAGATGGCTGAGTGGAGCCTTCATGACCCTGGTCTGGCGGTTAACACGCCATGGGAGGACTCAGCTCGTTTTGGATGCCAATCAGAGGCAATTCTAGGAACATCGCTGAGAATTAGGTCCCCTTGAATTCCAAAGATTAGTATTGTGCTCATTGGGCTGTTGGTTGCTGGAAGGTGCGTGTTCATGCGTGTTGGTGCGGTTGTAGCCATTATAGGGGTTTGACAGTGTTAGCATCTAGAACGTTTGGCGCGTTGACTTTGAGCATGGAGGCGGCACAGCGATTTCGCTGCAAATCGGAAGCCCAAAGCCTGGTCCAGAAATAGACTTGGAACTCGGAAGGCAAGTAGACGCAAAGCATGCCGCTATACCCCAGTTGCCTTTTATCACAGATACGATGAAGACTGGCCAACATGCCCATCCACGATGACGTTTGCCGCGCGGTTATGCCGCCCATTTCCGCGCTTCTGTCGCTACTCCTTGTGTCTGGCATCGAGGTTCACATATGAAGCCTAAGGAAGAATCGTAGGAGTTTCCTCCCTATTTCCCAGCTTCATATAGATACTCAACATCATCAATCCTATTCACTATCATATCATCAAACAACGGAAACGCCAGCGACAATTTATGGACAATCATTGTATACATAAAGCCCTACATACAGCATATCTTTTCTCAACATTCAAGTCCACCCAGACTATCATTGCTTCTTTTCCGAGCAAGACATCAAATACTGCGCGCAAGCCAACGCTCCGGGGCATATCATCGAACGCAATACCGAAGAGATACAAGACTCGTGCGAGAGACACCCGGGACCGCGAACAGAGAGCTGCATGGCCATGTTCTGCCGGAGAGCCACTGATCAATGGGAGTTGGAGGATGGGACAGAGGCTCACGATCAGAACGGCAAAGCCGAACCGGACTTCGAGTCTGGTCGTCATAGAGTAGAGCTGCATGGTAGTCCCTACCACAGGACCGATACGCAGCTTTCCGATAGTAGTGAAGAGAGTGTCAGTGTTTATTTAGAAACAAGATCAATGCATCACATCGCGGGTGTGGACTCGCAGCATGACAGAAAGCATGGCGTCAGCCCGTTCCCGGAAGAGGGGTATGTCCAGAACAAGGAAGTCTATGGCGCTGAAACGGAAAATGAACACATGTCGAGCCACGGAGGCCGTAGGCACTACTTTGAGAGAATTTCGAGGTGGTTCAGCAAAGGGAAATAAACGCTGTTTCTCTACACACACGACTCGCCCAATCTCGATGATGTAAACATCTGATGATCATCGAAAGCAAGAGTGCGGGAGACCTTTGAAATGATGCCTGTAGCCTAGGTCGGCAATATAGCGGTTTTTGTGCGAAAGAAGCTTCCAAACCAAGGTGCCGTTCCCAGGGTGTCGTTCTGACTACGATTGGAGTCATATCACAAAGTGAATGGTAGCTGCTGAGTCTTTGGTTTTTGCCATAGTCCTAAGCTCTGTCGAATTGCAGCCTAGGCACGGTCTTTCTCCAGCTAGGCACTTCTATGCGAAGGTCACTTCGATTCGATCTCACACCTCTTCGTGAAACATAAAATTGAAAACGCAGTTTGATCCTAAATTTGATAAGATGCTTCAGTAAAACTATCGCACTATCGCATATTCATGCAAGGTCCAAGCCTGGACAATCATGCGAATTAGATACCTCCCGTCATCTCGAAAGGATCACCTCTACGAGACGATTTATCGGCGGAAACTCTTGTGTGATTATGCAAGCCTACTGCAAAGTGAACCATGCTTGCTGCCATACTTTTCCATATTGACATCACATCATGGTTTTGCAAGACACATCACAGTTCCTGCATATGCCCCTATCCAAGTGAGATGATTCGTGGATATGCCAGCTTGGCATACGCAAGGCGGTCGTTGGCTTGGTAGCATTAGTGCAGCGAGCCGATATGATTTCCAAATTCGAAATAGTAACCAGTCCATAAGCCTGCGTTGATGCCCAACATCTCATTATGCTTGGATGAATGGACAGGAGCGCTGATAAGAAATGCGACGCCAACAGGGAACGGAACGCGACATGTGGGACGTCAAATTCTTCAGCCTCCGGGCACTCAGCCATAGTCACCTCAACTCTGCCTTTTTATTCTTTTTTATTAGTCTGAGGTTTTCCTACCGAGCATGTGCTATCAGGTCGTCGAGCTGTACGGAGATACACGTGAGCTTTACTACCAGCACGCGGTCGATCGGTGTGCCTTATACGGACGGCCCGGTCATAGGATTGAGAAGCGCACCATTTTGGTCGGCTTTGGACAAGGCCCAGATTCAGTTCCGGCACAGCACGCCCCTCGTACACCTGGTGCCTTTATAAGGCAGTATTCTCATCGTGCGAGCGAGCTTGCACCCTGAACAGGACAGAATACCTGGGGACCGGGGAAGTCGGTTTGGGAATTCCAGGGTCATGAACCATGCACGGGGAATGTTTGAGGCTTCGAGATATGTGCCGCACTTAGAGGACAGTAAGTATGGTTTTTAGGTCTAATTGCAAAACGTTCTGGAAATGCTGGTGAGGCTCACACTCCTAGTTTACTACTCCCTTCCGATTGCAATAGACCAGTTTCGTATTTTGAGTGTGCGACCAGCTTCCTCAACTACGTCGCCAATCATTGCCGACCTCATTGTCGAGAATTTCAAAAATCAACACAAACACTATGACGCCCTTTCCTACACATGGGGCGGCTTTTCCAACAGCGACCGGATAATTGTCAACGGTAAAGAGTTCCCTGTGACCCAAAATTTGCGACTAGCCATTCAAAACTTGAGGCACCCATCGCGAGCTACCAGGCTTTGGATCGACTGTATCTGCATCAACCAAGCTGATACGATGGAGCGAAATTCGCAAGTCCAGCTGATGGGCTGGATCTACTCTCAGGCACACCACGTAGTGATTTGGTTAGGAGACACATCAGAAACATCACGAGTTGCGATGAAACTTCTCAACGATTGCCACAATCTTGAATCGGATGAAGAGATTATACAAAGAGTCATCAGTGACGAGGCCGGTGGGCAAGCATTGACAGAGCTTCTGCAACGGCCCTACTGGACACGCATGTGGATCTTTCAAGAGTTCATACTCTCTCGGTCAACGACAGTTTACTGTGGCCCTCTTACGACCACATGGGGTGCTTTACGGCGGCTGGACAAAATAACCGGGAGTCCATGGCTTTGGCCGGGACTAGAGATCCGAAAAGGATGGATTTTGGCTCTCCGCCGTGCCTTCTTTGGCATTAGTCAATTCTTCATGGATCGAGTGGATGCTCGTGACATGACGAACGTTTTACAGCCTACAAGAAACCTCAAAGCAACCGATCCTCGCGACAAACTCTTTGCTCTTCTAGGTGTTTGTAACACAGGCTTGTTCCATCGCCAGATTATTCTAAGCCCGTGAGAGACGTATACATCGATTTCACAAGAGCTCTTATCGGCCATGATCACGATTTATCAATCTTGTTAACCGCGGGGCCCTGGAATCCCGAGAATGGGAATAACATCGGCCTCCCTTCTTGGACGCCGGAATACCGGGGCATGAATGGCATTGATATTCGATACGTGGCAGCTAGCTACCTGGAGTACTTCAATGCATCAAAAGGGGCACCGCTCAATCGACAAATAGGTGTGATCAATCTCAACGCACAAATACTCACCATCGACGGCGTAAAACTAGATGTGATCTGCAAAACTGTCCCGTTGCAAACCGGAGAGGAGAAACGACGACGAGTTCTTGAACAAATAGACCCGCAGTCTATGGGATCACACCCGATTGGAAAGCCTCACCTACAAGCTTTCTTTGAGACCATGGTCTTCGATAATGTCACTTTACATGGTGGTAACACATTGAAGGATCCGATTGGAGACCAAAGTCTGATTCGACTTGCTGTGGGCTTCCTTCATGAGCTAGACGCGTTTAATCACGAGACCAGGTGTCATCGACATATGAAGCGGGCAGATTCCGAGAGGCCAGGAATACATCAATCAGAGGTATTGAAGTTGGCAGTTGAAGAGTATAGGCGTCTTGAAGCTACAGATCCGGAAGAGCTTCATTGGCGTCGTGAAGAATACAGGCTACGGACCGAAGAAGCAACCAATGGAAATCTGACGAGTATATTTTCAACTGAGACAAACTACGTTGGCAGGGGACTGATTTCCATAAGAGAGGGTGACATAATCGCCATCCTATTCGGATGTAGACTTCCGGTAGTCCTGAGGGAAAGCACCCAACCGTCGACATATCAGCTAATCAGCCCTTGTTACGTAAGTGGTATCATGGATGGAGAAGCAATTGAGACCCTGAAGCTTGGATCTTTCCCAAGAGGGAATGTATCTTACAGGATGGGAGCTAGACAGACACAGATGCATTTAGTATAAGCTGGCACATGAATAGTGCAGGTTGGTTCAACACTAGACAGTCTTAGACTTTGCTGAGTCTACTCTATGCGATCTTTCAATCTCAGCTCTCGCTCCGGCCCACTTCTTCCTTTTCCCATCAAAGTAGCGATAAATGTGCGGGCTATAAATGCCACCCATCAAAAGATCGCAGAACTGAGGCTCTTGGAGCCAAAACTTCAAGCCTTTCCATCCCCATCCCAAATACTCGTTCACGCCGGTGCCAGCTGTACGATCGGCCCAAGATGTCCATTTAAGCCCGTTCACGACCGCAGGCATGACATTTTTCTCCTTAGCTAGGGCTGTTGTCCATGCATGCTGCCTATCAATGGAACGTGCTATATCTTCCGCGGAGGGCAAGGGTGAAGCTTCTTTCCAATTCTGAACAATCGCCATAGCTGCTAGGTCATACGGCTGAAACGCACCAGTTGCAAAGGCTACGCAACCCATGAACGCAAGAGACTCCGGATACTTCTCAGACAGAACATTTTTGTAGAGTCTCGGAAGTGGTTTACCCCTCGCTCCCTTCGCAGCAACCCACTCTGGGTTCGGCGTATTTGCTGGGTCATCCTTCGGATCAAGGATGCTGAAGTCGGCCTTGTATCCAGTGCAATAAACAATGGCATCCACTTGAAGAATTCTGCCGTCAGTGAGCTCAAGCTCGTCGCCGGTAACTTTACCAATGCCAGCTACAGACTCCACGTCTCCATGTTCCAGTGAGGGAATGATCTCGTCTGACACCACCGGACTGGTTGTTTTCAAAGATGGGGCTGGAGAGAGGTTCCACTCCGGTCGAATTTTGAACTTGTTGTCTTGCAGCCCTTTCACCACCCTGTTGAAAAGGCTCTCGCTCGCCTTCGGAAAAAAGTATTCCAAGAACGCCTGAACTTTCGTGAAGCGGACGTTGATTGTGTGGTCAATAGGTCTCCCCTTGTTGACGCGAGGAATCTAGAATAACTGTTAACATCCCGCACCCACTTTCCGGACACCCCCTCATTCCGGACACCCAAAAATTATGCCCCCATATATCAACGCAGTAACTTAAACCTAGGACTTCTGCTATTCTGATGCAACTACAATACAACTTTCGCTATCACTAGGGTTTTCAGACTCGCTGGATTCATTTATACTATTTACAAGTTCTCCCGCCTCGATTTGAGCCCTCCGAATAGCCTCAATATCAGCAAACTTCGAATTTGGGCTCATTTTGACCTTCTTGCGTTTCCTGGCCCTACTGGCATCAACCTCTGCTTGTAGTGCCTCAATCTTTCGCTGGGCTACTGCCAGTTGGTATGCCTTCTCATCAAAGCCCTTCTGAACCTTCCGAAAAAGCAGGCGTTGCGTATGCTCATCGTTATCCAGCTTGCTGAACAGGCTGAACTGATCCTGAAGCTCATCCCTCTTCTTGGGGGTTGACCAAGGGACTGCTGATGTATCTGCCGCCCATTTTTCGCTTGCTTTGCCATCAGAGAGCCCTTTGCAGACCTGACCAGCTGGTTTGGCAGGGGTTGAAGTGTTCTCAAGCAGCAGAGGGCTCATGAGGGGTCTAGCCATACTGATAGGCCACAAACCAGTCCATTTCCAGCCACTGATGATATTCTTGCTTGTCAGGGCTGCCTTACGCGCCTTGCCATAGCATACAACGAAATTTCTCTTGCCCACAACTGTACCAGCATCCCATTCAGCAAGTAATCCAAGCTCCTTCTTGTATGCTGCCTTGAGGGGCCCAAAAACCGACTGATCAAGTGGCTGAAGGACGTGTGACGTGTGTGCTGGCAAGAACAGCAAGTGTATCTTGTTTCTGAAGCATGTATACATGAAAGCAGTAGTCTCATGGCTTCCATGACCATCCAAGATCAACAATCTGACCTCTGAGGGGTCTGCTGGCTGGGTAGAAGGTATAAAGACCTCTGTCAACCACTTAACAGCTGTAGAGTCTGAAGTCCACCCGTTTTCTGTTGCTGTGAACTTCCAGGATTCGTATGGCGTCAGATCTAGAGGAAACCACTGCTGCTGGACACTCTTGCCCTTATATATAACAAGTGGAGGCAGTGCCTTGCCAGTTGCAGAGATACACTCAATCAGAGATGTCCAAGCACGCGATCCAGGCTGTTTCTTGCGGATAGAACGAGTTTCTGATGATCCAAGAACAAGCCCATTTGATCCTCTGCCTTCCAGAATACCAGACTCATCCATATTGTATCGATTGGAGGCTTTAATGGCTATGATCTCAGGGATGGCGAGGTGCTTGAACCATTGCCTGATGACATTAGTTGAGGCTCCGTTGATGCGCTGGGAATCAATTGCTCTGCTTCTCTGGACCCTTACAGATGGGTTTCTCTTGATAAAAGCCTGAACCCAGTTCTTCCCTAGAGGCTTGGCGTCTCCATGGATCTGTAGGATACGCTCAGCGAATTCCTTGAGTTGTTGATGGGTTGGTGGTAGGCCTAGGGCAGCCTGGATTCGAATCCATTCAGCCAAATGGCTTTCTTGGGTTGGAGAGAGCCTCTGTAGATCTGAGAAGGCAATATCTCTTGATTGGGTGCCTTGGATACGATCATAAAGAGTAGACTTTGGGACCCCATACTGCAATGCAGCTTTTCGCACGCTAAGCCCATTAGAGATCGCATTAAGAGCCTGATTAATCTCATACTCTGTATATTGACTCATATGGTCTAGAAGAAGATGTTAGATAAAGATGGAAATAAGTGAGATTAAGGTGGTGAAGCTATTCAGGATCAAAGTTGTAAGAGAAAGATTTTATTGAGGCATTTTTAGGTGTCCGGAATGAGGGGGTGTCCGGAAAGTGGGTGCGGGACGTTAGTGCATCAGGGTGGCGTGCTCCTTCATGACGGCATACATGCCGCCTTCAACGCCCTCAAAAGCTGGGATGTACTGATCGATCACATGGCGTGCCAGGTCCAATGCAGTGTTGGCAGAAACTGCAGCGGCAGCCATGTCGTGGCCTTGCATGTGTCGGCGCCAGGAGACTCTGATGCGCATGCGGAGATCAAGCAGATCCTTCCATAGCATTTGGAAGAAGAAGATTGAATCTTCCGGTGATGTGCCCATGTCTGCCTCATAAAGAGCTCCGTCATCACGTGCCGGTAGCTCGATGTCCGGGGCGTCGAGAAAGCTTTGGCTTGGCTCGAAGAGAGACAAGCCGGCGAATCTGTTGGCGAGATTGTCCAATCCATTGTGACTAGCCTGCGATCCAGCCGCGGTCATGCGCGGCCTCAATACATCGCGAACTTGAATGAGGATGCCGAGGAAGTAGCTGTGCTTCAAGTCGCTGGCAGTAGCCGGCTTGGCTCCGTCTTGGGTGAGTTTGGCGCTGAACCTCGTGCGGAGGTCAATAACCCTGTTGAGAGCGGAGACGAGAATGTCGGGAATATTGGAGGATTTGTGTTTCGCTGTTGAGATGTACTGGGCAAGAGGAATAAACTCCTTGACGGCAACAGTGTACTTCTTCGGTGCTTGATCGGTCTGCTTCTTCTTCTTCTTCCCTTAACCGCCTTTGGCCTTGTTCTTGGCTGGTTTGGACGACTCTTCTTTGGCCTGGATCTCAGAGAGGAGGTCGGATGGGTAGCCGCATGACTTGGCTGTGGTAGCTAGCCATGCAGCAACAAAATTGGTGTCCTGCTTGTATTGCTGGTACAAGCTGAGAAGTGGCGCAGGGACAAACATTGTGTATATAAATCGGCGCCGGCACGGTTGCGACAGGGATATCAAACGGTATGTTTACTCAGTTGACAGGGAGCAAGCGTGCTCTTACGGCTCGATTCATGAATGTGTCTCATAGTGGACGTGAAATAAAGTTCAATAAAGAGGGGCGAACATGGTCGCGTCTTTGTCATGGTTCAACTCCCTGGCATTGGGCGTAGAAAATCCGCATCCGGTGGATGAAAAAGAAAATTCGGAGATCATCGTCTCTCGATGCCCGGCTCGCAGCTGGTGCCAGCTGACAGTCTGGTCTGTTGAAGCGCCATTCATGTTTGGCGCTCGTCTCCATTAACTCAGGGCCAACTTTTGAGCAGCATTACAAAATTTCAATAACACGAACAAGATCTCTTCGGAGACCGTTTATTATATCTCGCTAGACCAGGCACTGGCATGAAGCGTTTTGTGTCATTGTAACTACCGGGCTATATTACAACCATTCTTACAGCTCACAAAACGGTCTCTGCCTTGACCGTTGCGGTAAGACGAGCTTGATCAAACTATTCTCAAGTCAGCAAGTGCATTTTCGAGTTTGGTTGAATGGTGGGTCTTACCTCAATGCTCTTCCTCATGTCCCAGATAACAACCTCTCTTGAGAAAAGCATGAAAGACTGATTCTCGTCAAGCTGAAGCTTGGCATTGTCGAGTTGCGTTTGGGCAGTGCGCACTGCCGAGATTGAAGAGTCGCTTTCGCCCAGCCACAACTTGATAACCGCGTTGATGGTAGGCATTGTTTGGCCACCAAAGTAAGGTCGGAGATCTCCGCCGGGAACGGGAACATGGACGCTCGCATTGTACACGGTACCGGCCGGGATCGCCTTTACGAGCGTGTCGGCAAGGGTGTTCGCGAAGGTCTCGTTAGACGTTGCCTCCTTCGTAGCAATCGCCCAGAACCAAGCTACCAGAGGCGGCTTGTTATCAGCAGGCTTCGCGCCAGCGGCAATGCCAGTCAGGAAGGTCTCGGTGGCCAGCATCGACATCGCCGTTGGCATATCGTTGAAGTTGACCCCGTCGGGTCCAATCACGGTCTCTGTGTAGTTCGTCGGCGGAGGGGAGGTAAAGCTGTCGGCGGCGCTGCTGTAAAGTTCGTTCACATCATCGCGTCCGACGTAGATCTGGTTCGCGACGGTGTTGTTCGCGCCAAAGACTCCGTCAAAGACATGGTTCTGGGTGTACGCGATGGGCCACGCGTTGTCGTGGGGCGCGTTCCAGGACTTCTGACCGTGTACCAAAGTGTGGTACTCAAGATACTCTTTGTGTGTCAAGCCGGATCGACGTCGAATGACCGCAAGCTGTTTGGGGAAAGAGGTGCTTTGCTGACAGGCACATAGCACCAAGTTGCTGGCTAAAGCGAGCAGAAGCCCAAGGACCCGAAGTTGAAGCATTTTGGCGCGATCGGATCTAGTGTTTGGTTAAGTTTAGAACGCAAGCGGCTGATCATGCAGATCACCGAGGCTGCAGCCTATTATACATCTCGCAAGGCTTTCAGCCAATTCAAGAATGCCTCCCTCCGGCCCCTTTCGGCCTTCAACGGGGCCGAATGCCGGTGGAGGGCCGGGGTCTTAACACCGAGAAATTCACATTGACAAGAAAACATGACTCTATTTCGACTATAAACCGCAAAAGCCCCCCTTGATACCACTAGGTTTGATTGAAGGACATGTATTGCCCAATGAGATCCTGTTGCTATGATACGATGGAATGCCTGATGGGCCTGCCGAGATCCGGAAAGTGGGCGTGTGGCAGAACCCAAGCCAACTTTGAACTTTATTCGCGGTGTTGGCCTATCACACGTCTTCCTTCGGAGCAAAAATTGGTACATAGTACTCGGCTTCCTAATCCAGGTGCTGAAGCAACCCGAGATATCTCGTACTCGGTGAAATATTGCCTATCTTGATACTTCCGGCTACTTAGCGGAGGATTACTAAACATACAAATAGCAGCAACGACCCGAGATCACATAACAAATGTGAAGTGAGCTGGAGGAGAACATTGGAGAAAGTAAACATTATATCATTGATTTGGGTATATGGTAACAGATCTGAATCACCGGGGCGTCGAGCCTAAGACAACAACGTCACATCACCAACCACGGGCCTGTGGTCGCTGATGAGCATGCCGTCAACATTATTGTCGTAAATCTCGTACTTCTGGACCGAGTATTTCTTTGCGTCCTTGGGTCCAAGCCAGATGAAGTCGATGCGACTGCCCTGGTTGCTCGTATCGAAGGTCGTGTAAGTGAGCTGGTTGGTCCCAGCGTGCTGGTCCGGGGTGGCCATGTTGTACAGCTCCTCCATGTATCCGGTGGCGGTAAGAGTCTTGTAGGCATCGCCGTTGGGGTCGGAGTTGAAATCGCCGGTCAGAGAGACACCGAGAGGTCCGTAAGTGGTCTGAACAGCCTGGATCTTGGACACAACCACCTTGATACCCTCGGAACGGGCTTCGCTGCTGACATTATCCAGATGGGTATTGGCATGAATGAACTTCTTCCCGGTCGCGATGTGCTCAAAGACGGCAATAGTGACGATGCGTCGGCTTCCGGCACCCCATCCGTACGAGACCTGGTCCGGGGTGGGGGACAGCCACTTTACCTCGCTGTAAACCAGCTTCAAGGCGTCGGAGCGGTAGAAGATCGGGCTGTACTCGCCGGACTTCTTTCCGTCGTCTCGGCCGACGCCGACGTGGGCCCACCCGGAGCCGAGGCCGCTCTGGATGTCGTTCAGCTGGTTATCGAGGACCTCCTGCAGGCCGATAACAGTCACCGCATCGGTCGGCGCTGCGGACGCGGCGTTCTTGAGGGCGTCGATGACATGCGGCTGGCGGCAGCGGGATTTCCAGATGGGGCAGAGGAGATCCCACCACGGCTTCTCGCCGGATTCACGGGAGCCGGCGTCGTAGCGGATGTTGAAGGAGACGACGCGGATGGGGAGACCCTGAGCGATCGCCGCTTCGGCCAGGAGGAGCGGGGCCAGGATGGACTTGAGCTGCATTATGACGACGACGAAGAGCGACTTATTAGATTCGAAAACGAGAGACCCGGTGGTGAGCAAACACAATCACAAACGCCACATTGGTCGCCAACTCCTCCTATTTATGCGGGTGAGGAGAGAGAACTCGTCACCTTGATGAACTGCCTCATCACAATCGCCAAAGGGAACGCCGATGACCCTTCAGCCCAATGAGGCAGTTGAGGAAATAAGGTGACCGGGATCCCCTCCTGATGTGATGTCGATACGCTGCGGGGTTTCGGCCCCCCTCACGACCACTGAAGCGGCACGTGGGTAGCGATGACAGCCACATTGGCAACCATGGCACGGATATGTTATGCGGATGGGGTTGACAAGGCCGCATTGAGTCGTTTTCATCGCGAAAAATGGATTGTGGCTCCGGGCATACCCGGTAGTTGTGGCGAAACGCAGGCCCAGGCTGGCGATGATTGGCTGGGCAAATAGACTTAATAGAGAGTTTATGAAGTGCCCCAGCCACTGCGGCTTTTGCGACCAGCCAGGCAGAGTTGGAGGCCGAGTCAGTGAGCTCTTTTTTTGGGAATGCTGTTGGTCAAAGATTGGATGAACCAATATGACGACTCACGAGGATGGAGATTGGTTTGACGAAATGGCGACATTTCTGGCGGGAAGTGGGAGAGTGATGGATATTCGTCTAGCAGTCATTTTAATTCCATCATGCGTTGCTACATCTTCTACAAGACCTTGGATTGAGAGCAGCCCAGTGGTCAAGGAATTGTTGTTTGACATAGTCAGTGCTCAATAGGAGTTGCCGGTCGCACGCTCTGTGGGAAGTAGAAGACTTCAGTCGGATCAACAGCCGCCTTGATCTCCTGCAACCTGGCCAGGTTATTGCCCCAGTATTCCGTTTGCGCCTCATCTTGCCCCATGTTTGGATCGGGGTAGTTGAAGTACATGCCCTGTTCCCCTGGCTCCATGCCAAGAGTGGCGTTCGCTCTAAACCCCTGGAGAAACGAGAAGCCATCGTCAGGGTATGTCGCCGACAAATCGACTCGGTCATAAAACTGATACAGCAGCAACTTATTGCGATGAGCGTACGCAGAAGAGTTGGCAGAAATAGCGGTGATGGCCGAGTTCTTGCCCCCGTGAAGGTCGACTTGCACCCACCAATCTCGCTTCAAGGCTTTGCCGGCGCCATACCAGTAATTGACGAAAGACTCAATCTGGTCGTCGGAGAGTTTGTCTGTATACAGACTGCTAGAGCAAAAGTTCTCTTGCTGCTGTGAGTTAGTAAAACGGCAACGCGTGAGGCTTGAAGAGAAACTTGCCTTCTTGTATGTGTCTTTCTGATCAAGTGCTAGGCCATTTCCGAAATGTTGCAAGTTGCCAAACCAATCAGTGGTCTGAGATGTCGTCAGCTTGCCTCCCAATTTCGTAAGCAACGGGTCTAGGATAGCCTGCAACCCAGTCTTGTTTCCGTAGAACATCCCTTCCAGGTTGGTGAAGCGTGGAGTGATAAAAAGCCGCATGTTGAGCTCCCTCGGCATCTCTTCTTCCGCCCAATCCTGCAGCACCTTGAACCCATCGATGAACTTTTGAGAATCCCACTGAAGAACGGCGAGGAAGTTCGTGGCTTGCTGTGGCGCATCGAAGGTCTTGAAGTAGAACTCGGACGCAACTCCGAGGGAACTGCCGGCTCCTTTCAATGCCCAAAAAAGGTTCGCATTCTCAGCTTCGGAAGCTGTGACGACGGTGCTGTTTGCCAGAACAACCTTTGCTCCTACGAGCCAGTCGAGGGCGAGCCCCTTGGTATGGGAGCTCATTCCGTATCCGCCATGGAGAACATGGCCTGCGCTGCCGACTCTTTGTCATGTCAGTTGAGAACCTGAATACCTGGGCGCTAGGAACTGACCCTGGACATGTCCCATGACTGATTCCCTTGCCTCCTTGCTTGTATAGCTCGCTCGCGACGTGACCCAGACGGGATCCAGCCTGGACTGTCGCGATACCGGTGGCTTTGTCAAGGGTGACGTTGTACATGTGGTCAAGCTCCAACATGAGGTGGCCATCTTCACCACCGAAGCCGAAGTTGGCATAGCTATGGCCACCACATTTCGGCGTTACTTTGACACCATTGTCTCGACCGCACTTCACTGCGGCTTGGATATGCTCTGTGGTGAGTGGGACGGCGATGGAGACGGGGACGTATGGTATCCTGACGTTGAATGGGGATCCATCTGCTTCCCACTGAGAGCTGCCTTTCTCGTTATATGGGACGCTGGCTGCGGACAGGCAATCGTCGATTACTGCCTTCTTGTTCAATGGCGATGAAACGACGAGTGATACGGCAGTCAGACGACCGAGAACCTTTGTTGAAACCATGGTGCCAGCTTATGTGATGCCCGGGTCAACACTCGACTCCAGAGCGTGGGAGGTCGTCATGGGCTTTAAAACGGTTGCTGCCGAAGTGAAGTCTAGCGCCGCAATTTAAGAGACGAAGGTATTTACTCTGCTACTTCAGTAAGAAAAGATCTTCTTGGAACGAGATAATCATCTCACTGCGAGGCTTGGCCTTTCCATCACACGAAGACCGACCCATTTTCATTCATGTTGGGAGCCTAAAGTGGAAGTTCCGCGTCCGGATTCAGCGTCGGAGGATGGTTTTTAGCGGTTTCTGAGGTCTTCTGAACAACATCTTGAACCACGTTGCATCCAATGGTGAGGCTTAACTGTGATAATGTAAAGTTGGGCTGACAGAATCTCCTGATAACGGGTGTCAGTCAGACAGATCGTCAGTGACTTCATCTACGACCATCGCCACTCAATCAGAATTCCCATCAGCCTGATTCCTGTGCAGGTAGCTGAACCATAGAAAAGGAACTACGGACAGAAGGAAATGGCATAAAGACGGTAAACAAGTTGACGAAAAGAAATTATACCAACAGTTATAAGAGAGCCTCGTGGATCAGTATCATGAGCGGCGTCCGCATAGTGGTTAAAAAAAGCTCCCTCCGCAGACGACGTCCGGAACGTTACACAACCAACCACAGAGATGGCCATGTACTCAGAATTAACTAGCCACCTCAATATTGCCGAGACTTGAAATCCAACGAGATCTGCAATTAGCCGCGAACCGGTTTCACGGAACGGCACCTTATCAATCCCCATATTGCCTGTGGTTCCGTAGAATTACTCTTTCGGGGAACTCGGAAGATGCACTAGCCCAGACCATGGTTCTCCTGAATTAAGGGCTGAAAACACCATGTTTGAGATTGATCACTGATCACACTCATCACACAAAAGTCCCAGAGTGAAGAAGAAAGTTGACAATTATCGCCCGGAAGGAGTGATTTAGTACCGCCTGGTCGCAAGGCACATCAGAATCAGAGCATCTGATAAAGTTCTTCTGGTCTGACCGT